CAAAAAAAAAAAAAAAAAAAAAAAAAAAAATCTTGTTTCCTTTTGACATATCCTCCTTGGTGCTCAGACACATTCTTACCTCCTAGCACAAGATGCTTCAGGTTCACCTTGGTTTTTTAACCCTGTACCACACCTGAAATCAACCATTTCCACTAGGGGTTTTTTAGTGGGCAGTGGCATTTTGAAACCAAGATCTGGGTGTCAGGTGTATTCAATGCCTGAGGCGTCACTGCTTCTAGGCCCTTTAAGTGGACAAAGCTAGGAAATACATGTCTTTTTAAAAACGTGAGTTCATAATGACAACTCTAACTCAAATCCAATGTAGTATTCCTCACCTTCCTCCATTTCACATGTATTTCCCTTTTCCTACAGTCAGAATCCCAGTTCACAACTATTGATACATCAACATATTTACTCATTATTAGTTCTATCCGAAAATACTGTAACACAACCTCTTTCAAAAACAAAACCACCAAGTAAAGTATTTCTTCACAGTACTTTCTGTCTCAAGATCATGTCCCATTAAGTATATACAGTTAGAATACTGATTTGAAAGTTAAGTAAATGATTGTTTTAGTTTGAAGATTCAATTTTAGGATTAATTTTAAATCTATTTTAAACTTTATAAATCAACTTATTAAGGTGTAAGTAAAGTGCACCCATTTTAAGTGTACAGTTCACTGTGTACACATTTTTCGATAAATGTACACACCAGTATAACCATAATCCCAACCAACTTGCAAAACATTTCCATCACAACAGAAGGCTTCTCATGCCCCTTTGCAGTCAATATCTTTTTCATATCACCCCTGGCCCCAGACAACCACTGAGAAACCTAATGTTACGAAAATTTAGGCTTGCTTGTCCTAGAATTTCATATAAATGGAATCATACAGTCTGTACTCTTTTGTGTCTGGCTTTTTTTCGTTTCAGCATAATATTTCTGAGATACATCCATATTGTTGCATACATAAGTAGGTCATTCCTTTTTATTGAATTATATGAATTTATCACAATTATGTTTATCCATTCACTTACTGATGAACATTTGGATTGTTTGTAGTTAGAGGCTACTATGAATAAATGTACTACGAACATTTTGTATACGAGTCTTTTGTGGACATAATACTTTCATTTCTCTAAGTTAAATATCTAGGAATGAATTACTGGGTGATAAGGTAGGTGCACGTACCATTTTACATCAGCATCAGTAATTAATCAACATTCCGTTTTTGCTTTACATCCTTGTCACCACATGATCTTTTCAGTCTTCCTAATTTTAGCTATTCTAAGTAGGTTAAGTGGTATCTCACTGTGGTTTAATTTGCATTTCCCTAGTAACAAATGATGAGGCGCATCTTCATATATGCTTATAGACTATTCTTGTAACTTCTTTTGTGAAGTTTGTTCAAAGATTTTGCCCTTTAAAAAAAATGGGGTTGTTAGCCATCTTACTGGGTTGTAAAAAGTTTTTAAAATACAGTCTGGGACTTGCCTGGTAGGGCACTGGTTAAGAATCCTCCTGCTAATGCAGGGGACATGGGTTCAATCCCTGGTCCGGGAAGATCCCACATGCCGCGGAGCAACTAAGGCCATGCGCCACGACTACTAAGCCTGTGCTCTAGAGCCCGCAAGCCACAACTACTGAGCCCGTGCGCCACAACTACTGAAACCCGCGCACCTAGAGCTCGTGCTCTGCAACAAGAGAAGCCACCACAGTGAGAGGCCCTCACACCACAACGAAGAGTAGCCCCCGCTCACCGCAACTAAAGCCCGTGCACAGTAACGAAGACCCAATGCAGCCAAAAAATAAATAAAAATTTTTTAAAAATAATAAAATGTTTTAAAATAAATAAATAAATACAGTCTGGATCCACATTTTTTTTGGTCAGATACATGTACTGTGAATGTTTTCTTCCAGGTCGAAGTTCTAACCAATTAATTTAATTGTGGTAAGAGCACTTAACATGAGATCCACCTGCTTAAAGTATATAATACAGTATTGTTAACTATGTGCACCATGTTGTACCACAGATCTGTTCATGAACGATGAAGAGCTTACTCATCTTGCATTAACCAAACCTTTGTATCTGTTGAACAAATAGATATGCCTGTCCTCCTCTGACAGGCTCCCATTCGTAAACTGCGCGGCCAGGTTGCCCACCAGCCCTGGCCGGATGCCGCACTCCATCCTGTCTGCTACTTGGACGAGCTGCCTGGCGATGTCCCAGATGACTTCCTCTTGACTCTCAGAATCTCCCACAGTGGCGCAAGGCAGGTGGGAAAAGACCAATGCCCTCAAGGCGTGGAGCGTGCCCACTTCCAGTCATTCATTATTTTTTATTGTGGAGTAGCACTCCATTATAAAGATGTACCAAAGGTTGATGGTTGTTTTAAATCCGTTCATCAGTCGAAGGACCTTTGGGTTTTTTCCTGTTTTGGCAATTATGAATAAAGCTGCTATAAACACATGCCTAGGGCTTCCCTGGTGGCACAGTGGTTGAGAGTCCGCCTGCTGATGCAGCGGACACGGGTTCGTGCCC